ATTATAATAACAATTATAAATTATAATAATAATTATATATTATAATAATAATTATTAGTAATAATAATAATAATTATAATAACAATTATAAATTATAATAATAATTATATATTATAATAATAATTATTAAATATTATAATAATAATAAGTTGAATAAATTGTAATTAATTATAAATTCTAAAAATAATATTAATAATATTAATAATTATAAATTATAAATGCTTATAATAATAATATTATAAGAAATAATAATAATAATTTGTAATGATAATTATAATTAAATATAATAATAATTATAAATTATTATTAAATATAATAATTTAAATAAAAAATTATAATAACTATTATAAACCTCAACAATTGTAATTATAATAATAATGAATAAAATTTATATATTAAAATAAAAATGAATTATAATCTATTGTAATAGTTATTAGAATAGTCATTACATATGGAAAAATTTAATAATTAATGATTCAGGGTGTTGGCAGACCTGGACAATCTAATGCCAGGGACGACGACGAGGCGTTCGATGACTATTACGATGGTTCTGGCACCCGACACACTAGAAGTCGGGGTGTCAATGCGTCCGTTCGTCGGGAGAGAGACATGGAAAGGCAGACGATGATCGATGAGGCTCGGAGGGTACAGATTCGTCAGGCTAGGCAGAGTTCGAGACCCCCCGCACCAGTGCGAGATGGTCCGCAGGGATATCATTTTGAGGGCCAGCCAGATAGTTCGCGACTCCACGGAGTCCTCCCGTACGGTGAGCATAGATTTTATTATCCTGGCCAGACCGGCGGTTCGATGCCCCCGGCACCAGGACCGTACGATCAGTCGCGATATGCTTTTCCCCGCTACGCAGGGAAGTCGATACCTCCTCGCGCACGCGTACCATTACCCTATGGTCAGCAGGGGTACGCTGATGAGTCGTACGGCGAAAGGGAGCAGAGTTCAGAGGAGTGTGACTCGGACGACTCCTCAGATGATCAGGACCACGCACAGCCTACGGGTCCTAGCCACCCTCGTCCTCCTGTACAGCCTGTTCGTCCGGTACAGCCGATTCTACAGCAGGTTCGTCCGGTACAGGCTGTTCGTCCTACACAGGCTGCTCCTCAACGACAGGCTGGGGGGCGTTTTGGCCCATCTGCATCCTCATCAGGTAAATAATTTACGTATTTATTGTTGTTTAACATAAATTATTTTCACTTAATCATAACAAATTATCGGTACTGTTAGAAAAGTATTATTGGCCTGCTCCTCAAC